GCACACATATGACTGTAGACACACATATGACTGTAGACACACATATCTACAGTCGTTGGTGTAAACATGTGACTCAACATGCCCAAAGTGACTAGATCAGTGGCTCTGGGACAGGATAAAAGGGAGAGACACAAAATATGAAACATTTATGTTTGTGTTAGTTTAATGGGAGCCGGTCGGCCGACAGGACTTGTGATCCTGTGGTCCTGGGTTCGATCCCAGGCGCCGGCGAGAAACAATGGGCAGAGTTTCTTTCACCCTATGCCCCTGTTACCTAGCAGTAAAATAGGTACCTGGGTGTTAGTCAGCTGTCACGGGCTGCTTCCTGGGGGTGGAGGCCTGGTCCAGGACCGGGCCGCGGGGACACTAAAAGCCCCGAAATAATCTCAAAATAACCTCAAGATGGTATTGTGTATCAGATGGTGGCTGAGCAAGAGAGGTGGCGGATACCAAGGAGGGAAAGGAATGAGTTGTTGTGGGGAATAGGGGCGAGTGATAAAGGATAGAAGGGTAGAGAGAATGGTGGATGAATAGCCAGAGACTGGCGCTTCTGTCTATCAGAACAAATATGTTGCGCCTTGTGTAGGGGGGGGGGGAGGAGTGAGGGGTGAGGGTGTCAGGGTGTGGTGAAGGGTGAGTCAGGGTGTGGTGAGGGGGGGTGAGTGTGTCAGGGTGTTGGGAAAGATGGTGACGACCCAGGGGGAGGATGGTGGCAACTTTCACTACCACCATCACCACTACCACTCTCCCCTTGTACAGTAGCCGGGACACTTGTGTACTAGTGAGCTGCAGCAATATTTGTGGAGAATGACCAGTGGAGGACGAAGTGTAGGGCGACGCTGGAGTGGGCCAGGTGGGCCAAGTGGGCCAGATGGGCCAGATGAGCCAGCACCAGGGGTGGGTGGGTCTGGGCAGGGAGTACTAGAGAACAACTTGAGGTCCAGTTTTTGTCTTCCACCCCTCCCCCCCCCCCAGACCGGCCATTCTTTGTCTCCAATCCGTCGATATGTTTTGTCTTCTCTGGTAAACATTGTCTTCTGCTTCTCTGAATTATATCCTCTTCACTTTCATAACATTTTTATCTATATTTCGTGAACACTTCTCTATAACATGTCAGAACATAATAAGAAATTTACTCAATGAACCGTAAGCAATCACTGACCGCCTCGTCTTCCCATTTTCTGAGATGTTCTCCTTGACAGGTTAGGGATGGGTTAGGTATAAGAGATAATTATTGGCTGAGATGCTTCTCGTTAGCCATTGTTTACGGATATTGGTTCCATAATTGTGCGTGTTTAGTTGTTTTGTGGTGACAGCCCCGCTCCTGTGCCAGGTAAGTCCACTTCGGGCTCACCATAGCCCGTGCTACTTGGAACTTGTTCCGAGTAGCTGAATCTATAACAAGAACAACATTGTTTGTGGTTCACATGTCCCTGGTCGTTCCCTGAGTGTGTATACACTAAGTATACATCTTATGGAACACGGGGTATACATCCTGGGGAGTGTGGATATACATCTTAGTTTTTTGTATTATTATTATTTTCTACCACAGACGTGGCCAGACATTTACTATGCTAACCAGCATATATATATATATTTTATTCTGGCCTCCATGGACAGGGTGAGAGATCTGTTAAACATATAGTTCAAGGGTTTATTGAACAATTAACCACAGAAGATGATTGTAGTGCTTTGAAAATGCTAATCTAACCTATAGACTTAAATAAATAGATACCCAGAGTTACGTCTGCCCTACAGAAAGTGTTTGATGTGTCTTTTACATAGTGTCATTAATGTGCATTTACAAAGGTGAAATGTAATTCTGATCAGCTTCCACATATACTTCATACACATACATACATACATACATACAACAGTGTATACTATTGGTTGTCTGGTCAGGTGTTTTCAGGGCTGACTAGTGTAGATGCAGGTCATACAATAATACACCTAGACGGCTGGCTGTATTACTGACCTAGTTGGTGGTCTCTAGCTAGACCTAGATAGGCACCCCCAGGATTCATCAGACATTTACGTGTTCCCTTAAGAAACCTGTATACCTTTCCTTCCCTTAATTTCTATTGATTTACGAACTCTCCAAACGCACCGAGGTCGTTCTGGACATTATGTGATGTGGACAACCTCGCAGCTCATCAGGTCTCATAATAACGGATTAATAAATGCAGACTAAGCCTAGGAGAGATGTAAAGGTTTCGTTAGTGGACGTTGTAAATCTGTAATGAATCTTAGCGCCGCGCTTCATTCACCTGCAGTCTCTCTCTCACATATATCTTGAGACAGAACACTTCCATCGTGCAATGATTGATTGATTGATAAAGATTAAGCCACCCAAGAGGTGGCACGGGCATGAATAGCCCGTAAATCGTCCAATATCGTTAATTGGTTAATGAATTATCAAGGTGTTTGTCTTAATAGAGGTCAGGTGAGATGCTTGTAGACTCACCAGAGGTGTTCCTCAGATCAAGCTCACCATAGCCCGTGCTTCTTGCCCCGCTCCTGTGCCAGGTTAGTTACGGGCTCAATATAGCCCGTGCTACTTGGAACTTGTTCCGAGTAGCTGAATCTATAACAACATTCCTCAGATTACCATTGTCTGTGTGTGGGGGGGGGGGGGGGGAAAGAGTGACGTGGTACTGGGTAAGGAGTACCACGTCACTTTCTACCCCTACATGGGGCAAGTAGTAGGGGTAGGAGTAGGAAGTGGGGCTTGGGCAAGTAGGTAGAGTAGGGCAGAAAGTGGAGGGTATGGGCAAGTAGGTAAGAGAGAGAGAGAGAGAGAGAGAGAGAGAGAGAGAGAGAGAGAGAGAGAGAGAGAGAGAGAGAGAGAGAGAGAGAGAGAGAGAGAGAGAGAGAGAGAGAGAGAGAGAGAGAGAGAGAGAGAGAGAGAGAGAGAGAGAGAGAGAGAGAGAGAGAGATGCTGCCACTGGCTATGAAACACAACTTCACTCCCGTTGGCCAACTTCCTCTTTCATCAACACCACCTCTTCGGCGTCGACTCCTCCGCTCCTGTAATTATCGTCTTCCCCTACTCCTTCTTTATCTCCCCTCCCTCTGTTGCCTAGTTCTTCCACTCCCCCACTATACACCCACTTCCCTTCTCCTCTTCCGTTTCTATCGCCACGAAACCTTTTCTTCCAGTTCCTAGTTTCTCCACCATCGCCTTATTCCCCTCTTCCTCCTCCTTCTTTCCTTATCCACCAATTTCTCTCACATCTTCCTCATGTTCTTCTTTTTCATCTCCTAAAAAACTGTCAATCACCTACATTCCTGTCATCCAGGATCACATCTTGAGGTGTAGGATAACACATTGGCTACCACAAGCAAGATATACTGAACACATCCACAAGCGCCGTGATGAGGGTTCGAACCTAAGTCCAGGATGATCCCAGACGCGCCTTAGCCAACATCATTAATCTGGGATCACCCCGGACGTAGGTTCGAATCCCCATCACGGCCCTTGTGGATTTGTTCATTTGATATATCACGCTATTGTGATTTCTACGTGTATATATTCATGTGGTGTTAGTTTGACCTTGATGTATTATACAGTAGGCAGCTCGCACCGCATACATCACTACATCTACCTCATACAATAGTCGCTACATAAAGGGATATAAAGTGAGGATATGCACATTAGTACAGGTCAGGTAGTGTACAGGTGAGGTAGTGTACAGGTGACCCTTTGTACAGGTGACCCTGTGTACAGGTGACCCTGTGTACAGGTGAGGCAGTGTACAGGTGAGGCAGTGTACAGGTGAGGCAGTGTACAGGTGAGGCAGTGTACAGGTGAGGCAGTGTACAGGTGAGGCAGTGTACAGGTGAGGCAGTGTACAGGTGAGGCAGTGTACAGGTGAGGCAGTGTACAGGTGACCCTGTGTACAGGTGAGGCAGTGTACAGGTGAGGCAGTGTACAGGTGAGGCAGTGTACAGGTGAGGCAGTGTACAGGTGAGGCAGTGTACAGGTGAGGCAGTGTACAGGTGAGTCAGTGTACAGGTGAGGCAGTGTACAGGTGAGGCAGTGTACAGGTGAGGCAGTGTACAGGTGACCCTGTGTACAGGTGAGTCAGTGTACAGGTGAGGCAGTGTACAGGTGAGGTAGTGTACAGGTGAGGTAGTGTACAGGTGAGGCAGTGTACAGGTGAGGCAGTGTACAGGTGACCTGTGTACAGGTGAGGCAGTGTACAGGTGAGGCAGTGTACAGGTGAGGCAGTGTACAGGTGACCCTGTGTACAGGTGAGTCAGTGTACAGGTGAGGCAGTGTACAGGTGAATCAGTGTACAGGTGAGGCAGTGTACAGGTGAGGCAGTGTACAGGTGAGGCAGTGTACAGGTGAAGCAGTGTACAGGTGACCCTGTGTACAGGTGAGGCAGTGTACAGGTGAGGTAGTGTACAGGTGACAATAGAGGTCTCCAATGCCGTAGTCATTAAGTTTCAAGGCCGACTCTGAGGCATTCCTTCTCCAAGGTTTACATCACAAAAACTCCACATCTAAGGCCGCTTCACCAGCAGACTGCGCATCTCGACTCTACTTTTCTTGAAGGACGTATTGAAAAAAGAAATGAAAACTATTTCATAAGAGAAAGCCGTATAAAGCACTCCAGCCTGCTACACGGAACATGAAGATGTTTACATATGTCTACGGTTGTCTTGCCTCAGGTGAGTGGGTGTGGGGCATGGGGGTGTGGGGGAGTAACTGCAGGTGTGGGGAGTAACTGCGGGTGTGGGGGAGTAACTGCAGGTGTGGAGAAGTAACTGCGGGTGTGGGCAGGCTAGAACGTGTGACGTGAATTAATATATTTTAAAACAACACATTATAATTGTAACCATAATAAGAATGAAAGAAACTGCAGAAGGCCTATTGACCCATACACGAAAGGTCTACAAGGAATCCACTACCTTCCCCACCTTCACCAGAAAATAATAAGAAGTGGTTCCTTCTTCGTCTGTTAGAAACAAAAGAGAATATGGAGACGACTTAC